GTATGTGTGTTTCTGTGTGTGCGTATGTGAGTTTGTGTGTGTGTGTGTGTGTGTGTCAGTCTGTCTGTGTATGTGTGTGTGTGTGTGAGTAACCGATGGCACAGCAAATACTATGAGAAAGACAGTATGATCCAGGATAATATATCACTGTTGTACACAGAGTACATTTTTAAAAAGTCTTTTTTTTTCACGGGGGTGTGAAATAAAAAAGGGAATTGTGTGTGTGGTCATATTTGAGTGTGAATGATGAATTTAAATGCAAACCAGAAGGAGTGGGTAGTTCTGAGGAAAGATCACTCGACACGAAACATTAACTCTGATTTCTCTCCATGGATGCTGCCAGACCTACTGAACTTTTCCAGCAACTTCTGTTTTTGTTTCTGATGTACAGCAAGCGCAGTTCTTTCAGTTTTTATTTAGGAGTGGGTTGCTTCTGACTGAATCGAGGCACCAAGGTCTGTTCGAATCGTGAGCTCTACCAATCCCAGCAGACAGCTGCCCTCTGTCCCTCAGGCCAATAATCTCTCACTGACTGATGCTCCCAGGTAGAACAAAAACAGAAGTTGCTGGAAAAGCTCAGCAGGTCTGGCAGATTCTGTGAACAGAGTTGTTAATGTGTTGTTAATGCTCCCAGTTAGTGTGGGCTCCTACTGGGATCACTGGAGGTGGAAGTGAAAAACCAGAAAAGTGCAGCTATAAGTAGAAACCCAAAATATGTGGAGGCACCATCCTTGCCATCTCTTCTGCAATCAACTGCAGCACAGTTATTCCACCTTATTTTCAACACAAATAAGCAAATACATTTCCAAAGTTACAGGCGTGCACCATTTGCACTTACAAATTGGAGCACCCAATCTCTTCGCATGCATCCACACACATCCTGCTCCTCTGATGCTGCTTGGCCTGCTGTGTTCATCCAGCTCTACAACTTGTTATCTCAGTAAACACAACATGTATTTTAAAGCCTCCAGCCCTCTCTATTTTGCGGGCTACTATATGGTACTTCCTAGTTTCTCGTTTAAGCGCTAAGCTCAAATCCAGGGAAATCTAGGGGCAGAAGAATATTGCTTTATGCTAATTCAGAGTGGATGTGATTTCCATCAGGGCAGTGTGCTGACTTTTTTTTGTAATGAGATGTGGCCATTTATTGCCCATCCCTAGTTGCCCTTGAGAAGGAGGTGGTGAGCTGCCCTCTTGAACCACAGCAGTCCATCTGCTCTAGGTACACCACAATGCCGTTAGATAGGGAGGGTGTTCCACGATTTGGATCCTGTGATACTGAAGGAACGGCAATATATTTTCAAGTCAGGATGGTGAGTGGTTTGGAGGGGAACTTAAAAGTAGTGGTGTTCCAACTAAACTGCATGTTCCCATCAATCTGCTGACATTGTCCTTCTGGAGGGTGGTGGCCATAGCTTTGGAAGGTGCTGTCTAAAGATCCTTGGTGAATTTCTGCAGTGCATCTTGTAGATAGTAAACACTGCTGCTACTGAGCGTCAGTGGTGGAGGGAGGGGATGCTTGTGGATGTAGTGCCAATCAAACGGCTGCTTTGTCCTGGATGGTGTCAAACTTCTTGAGTGTTGTTGGAGCTGCACTCATCCAGGCAAGTGGGGATTATTCCATCACACTCCTGACTTGTGCCTTGTCGATGGTGGACAGGCTTTGGGGAGTCAGGCGGTGAGTTACTCGCTGCAGTATTTCTAGCCTCTGACCTGCTCTTGTAGCCACTGTACATATATAGTTAGTCCAGATGAGCTCCTGTCAATGATAACCCCAAGGGATGTTGACAGTGAGGGACTCAGGGATGGTAATGCTATTGATTAGCATGGAGCAATGGTTATTTATCTCTTATTGGTGATCGTCATTGTCTAGAATTTGTGTGGCATGAATGTTACTTGCCACTTGTCAGCCCAAGCCTGGATATAGTCCAGATCTTGATATGTTTGAACATGGACTGCTTCAGTATCTGAGGAGTTGTGAATGGTGCTGAACATTGTGCAATCATCAGCGAACATCCTCACTTCTGACCTTATGATGGAGGGAAGGTCATAGATGAAGCAACTGAAGATGGTTGAGCCTTGGATTCTACACTGAGGAACTCCTGCGGAGATATCCTGGAGCTGAGATAACTGACTTCCAATAACTATGATCATCTTCCTTTAGCTCGGTCTGATTCCAGCTAGTGGAAATGTTTTCCCATGATTCTCATTGACTCCAGTTTTGCTAGGGCTCCTTGATGCCACACTCGGTTGAATGAAGCCTTGATGTCAAGGGCTGTCACTCTCACCTCACCTAAGGAATTCAGCTCTTTTGTCTACGTGTAATCAGAATGGGAGCTGAATGTCTCTGGCAGAATGCAAGCTGGACGTGAGAAACCTAGAAACTGCACCTCCCAGTCGCGAACCATTTCAACTCCCCCTCCCATTCCTCAGACGATATGTCCATCCTGGGCCTCCTGCAGTGCCACAACGATGCCACCCGAAGGTTGCAGGAACAGCAACTCATATTCCGCTTGGGAACCCTGCAGCCCAATGGTATCAATGTGGATTTCACAAGCTTCAAAATCTCCCCTCCCCCTACCGCATCCCAAAACCAGTCCAGCTCGTCCCTGCCTCCCTAACCTGTTCTTCCTCCCACCTATCCCCTCCTCCCACCTCAAGCCGCACCCCCATCTCCTACCGACTAACCTCATCCCGCCCCCTTGACCTGTCCGTCCTCCCTGGACTGACCTATCCCCTCCCTAACTCCCCACCTACACTCACCTTTACTGGC